TTTTTAATGTACAATGGTATATCTATTTAATATCCATCATAAGTATTTATGCACATTCACATGTATACAACAAAATATTAATATATAACATCAGTATAATATTCATCATGAATATACAACTCATTATAATATTCATCATAAATAGTTATGTATTTTCATCAAAATTTCAGTATACGTACATCACTATGACATTCATCATTAATATACATTTTCAATATGACATTCATTATTAAAATAAATATTATTAATCATAATTATTTATGTTTGTTCAAGTATATAGAACAACTCTTCAATATTCAAACATCAGTATGATATTCATCATTAATATTAATTTTCATCATAATATTTATATACATATACATGAAGTTTATTATTAATATACTACAGTTTCAGCTCTACATACTTTAGTTTTTCTTTTCTTTTCTTTCTTTATTGGGTTCTCGATTGATCGTGATAAGTTCTCGATATGTCTCGATAGGTTCCCGATCCATCTCTACAAACACTAAAAGTTGTAGACTATGGTGTTACATAAACAAACACGCAATAAATCAATCGATATGTTCTCAACTGGTCTCGATGAAAATGAAGATGGTAAGTTATGATTTTACATACACAACCACACAAAAAATTAATCGATTGGCCTCGATGGGTTAGATTGGTCCTGATCAGTCCCGCTGGGTTCTCGATCGGTCTTGATGGGTTATTGATTAGTCTCGATGGGTTCCCGGTCCGTCTCAATAAAATCCAAAAGTGGTACGCCATGGTTTTACACATACAGATAGATAATAGATCAATCGATAGGTTCTCGATGGAAGATGAAGGTGATAGGTTATGATTGTAAGCACATAAACACACACCAAGTGATAAATGGATTCTTGACCAATCTCGATAGGTTCTTGATCAATCTCGATAGATTCTTCCTTTCTAAGTTCTCCGATGAGTAATGAGTATATTTGCATTTTGTAGTATTCTCCCCTGCCCTTGTATTGATACCTTTCCATTTATAGTGTATCCTATCGGACTGATGACTCACCATTTAATTTATTGTTTGATCGCTTTTATTTTACTTCTATTTCTGGCATGGTTGAGTAATTTTTAAATGGAAAGTCTTTATCTTCATTTTTGGTCATCTGAATGGGTACCATGGAAGGGGACATGGTTATTAACACATAGAAAAGGGTCGTATCTTTCTCAAGCTACCGTTGGGTTGTTACTTGTACCCTTTAGATATTCAACAACGCAGGACATATATATATATATATATATAAAAGACTCAGACTATTTAAAGGCTTAATTCAAGGATTTCTTTGTGCACCTACACTTACATACTGATGTCGTTTTTCCGCTTAGCACCTTAGTTGTAATAACCTATTTGTAATTTCTTAACATGGTCGATGAACATGATATGGTCCAATTTAGTTTAAGAACACACGAATGGGGCTTATGAGAGTGTTCTGCACCTACTTTACATGCTTCTTTAAGGCTTGTACATTCTACTCTGTGACTTGAAAAAGGATGTCGGGCTCACCCATTGGAAACAAGTTTGTTCTAATTGTTTCTTACCTTGTACTCTCTGATTGAAGATTGGTTCAGATGTGATTAGTTTCGTGGCATAAGCAGTTTATGTACAAGTTGCACAGTATCGAGGGATCAACCATAAAACAAAGTTATTTGTTGTAGACATGCAATTTGTGGAGTTCGCTCAGGCATAGACAACATAAATCTTGTCATAAGGGAAACTGTAGTACTGATGGATCAAGATTCATAATGTTAAAGGTTGCTTAAAGGTTGATATGTAATTTTATAAAATGTAAGTTGTTTTATTTTCCTTTTTAATGAACGACTTATTGGTTTAGTTCTTCGTTTTATTCAACCATTGGCTTTTTTGAAGATGTTGTGTATGGACCCCTTGTTCATTTTCTCTCATAAAGTACATTGGAGATAACCTATTACAGCCATTTGAAGTTTGCGAATATTACGGGATTCGAACCTATAAAATTGGAGCTATGTTCTTTATCTTATTTTTTTTTCATACTTTTAAGAATATAACTTGGGTTCCAAAATTTATAACGCTATTTATATATCTTTGGTAATTTGTTAACTTTTTCGGAGAATTTCTATTTACAAGCATATAGTACGATTATAAATTATTTTAGAGTAGAGGATGACCTGCTGCAGTTCAACTTCTAAACATAGAAGAACTTCAAAAGTGACGTTCAGAAAATCTAACATATCATAATCAAGCAAACCCACGATTTGATAGTTCAAAGCCCCCGCCCACAGACTTTCAATCTGTTGTGGTATATCTTTTGATGTTGGCTCGTATGCATTTTCGAGAAAAATTAAAGTTCTATTGCTTATGTTATTTGAATTTGAAAATGAAAGCGCTAATTACTGTTCTCAATCCACCATTCATATCAAAGTGTGATAAAAATGATAAAAACATGCGCTATTAATAATCTTAGGTCTAGTTTCTGTCCAACAGTCTTTTAATGAATAGGACCCAGCAAGCTAAAAGAGTCAATCGCATCCCGAAGGAGCAAATGAAAGCCCGAATTCAATATTCAACTGGGCTCTTCTTTGAATCTTGGGTGAAGTTTTTTTGGTAGCAGTTGGATGTCTGTCTTTAGCAACATGGAAAACACAGAATCTTGGACATTCCTCTGCTTCAGGACATGTGGATGTGCAACAACGGTGGTTAAATATGATCTTTCCATGGGCTCTCATGGAAAAAAGTGTTTTACTATCGCTTGCACTTGCAAATTCTAATCCTACGTGACTATAACAGTACTTGTCATTTCATTTCTTGTGCAATCTTGTGACTGATGAGTGTTCATAGCAAAACTGTATGTAGCTTTCAATTTGTATTTGGTAATATGGATTAAAAAGAATCTTGCTCTTCCATCTATGCTTTGGCGTTGAATGGTAACACGTCGGAAGTGGAAAGGTAGCTAATGATCGATGTTTATGTGTATTCATGAAAGGGATATATTCAAGTGCAATGTTTAACAACTCTGTCAACACATCTTTACATATATATTTTATAGGTTAAGTATTTATTACAATTGGGTAAAATATATGAAATAACAACCTACTTTTATAAATTCTCTTATTATAGCAGTGTACATTCAGGTTTTTTTTATTACAATAATGTACTTTTAAATTATTTTTTATTAAGACATTGTACTTTGGAATATTATCTATTATAGCATTGGATAACCTTTTGATTTAAATTTACTAATTATACCATGTTTCATGTCACCTCACTATCTATGAAGGTTGTCCACATATACCATATCACTGACGTGACATTTTTTATTACAACATTGTACTTTTAAAATTATTTTATTATAACATTGTCTGTTCCTATTACAACATTGTACTTTAGATTTTAATATTTATCATTTAAACATTGTATATTTAGTCAAACATAATACCTAAATTTAGGATTAAATTTAGTATCCTTTTCTAATCCTAAATTTAATCTCCCATAATCGAGATTATAGCAATCGGTAACCTTTTGATTTGAATTAAGTTGATATGACACAAATTATCAGGTTTCAATCTCATGTCATTGTCTACATGGGATGTCCACCTGTGAAATTTTGCTGACATCATATTTTTTATTACAACATTATATTTTGAAAAAAAAAAATTACATATTATTTAATAAATATATTAAATGAATTAGAAAATTTCTAAATTATTCAATAATAGACCAATATTAATAAGACTAATAAAACACGATCTATCTCCCTAACATTTTTAAAAAAAAATTGTATTTTTTGAAAAATAAAAACAAGAATTGTTATGTTTTTTTTTCAATTTTTTTACTTAAAATATATTTATTTTTTAACGAATATATCATACTTATTTAATTTTTTTTACTTGGCATATAATTATATTTAATTACATTTTTTTTAATTATTCATCAATATAACAATATTTAGAAAATTTGTAGAGCTCAAATTATCTCGCTAATATTTAAAAAAACGTTAAAAGATATATTTTTTTTGGAACAAAATAAAACAAGAAACAAAATAGTTATTTCCAAAATAATATATCCTATTTTTTTAATAAATATTTTACTTTAGAATATTTAATTTGCATATAATTCAATAAAAAAAGTTAAAAAAAAAACTGAAATGTTTTTGTTAAATTGTGGCAAGGAAAAGTGAAAGTCATTAAAAATAATTTAAAAGAGGTTTTTTTAAGTATATAATATTTATATACGGCAAATGCAACAAATAAAATCACATACCTTCTTCATATATGGTGAGGTTTGAATCTCTGACCTCCTAGAAGGTCAAGAGCTACGATACCGCTAGGTCAAAGGCCCTTTGATAAGAGGTTTTTTTTTGTTGTCTCATCAAAACAATGTGTCATCCATATTATCTCATTTAAGTCAAGTAAACAAAAAAACGTAAAGAGTCAACCGCTTTAAAAAGTAACAAGTTATCTATTGTTATCATAAATAGATTTTTTAAAGTACAATGCACTAATAAAAAAATACTCTCAAAATATATTGTTTTAATAAGAAAAAAAATTAAAATACAATATTAAATATTTTTTTAAAAATAGGTTGTGATTTTATACATTTTAACCAACTAAAAAGTGAATTTGAGATTCTGAAATTTTGCTTCAAAGGCTAAGGGGTTGTTGGGTAATTGTTGAATGATTTGTATAAAATGATTAATAGACTCTTGTAATATAATACAAAATAAAATATAATTATTTGGTAATTGTGTACAATGAAATTAAGGCTTTTAATAATTAATGGAGATCCATGATATAAAACAATTTAAATGGTTTTAGAACCATTAATAAACATATTTTTTTTATCAAACAAGATTCACTTCTTAACGATTCAAAAATTACCTCTTAATATAACTATTAAGAGGTTAATAAACAACTCTAACTAGCTACACATTTGAAGCCCAGTTGCCACTTCTTATCACCCGGCTCGGCTGGTACCTCGGACGCCAATTAGTTAAGCTGTTATGAACTTGACGGTTCTGCAACCTTCCACCACCGTCGCCGCCGTCTCTACCCTCACCGGTCGATCACCACACCCATCTACGGAGCTCAAACAATGCAAGACCAATCTGGATTTCATTCAAATACACGCCAAACTCATCAAAACTGGACGCATTCGAGACCCACGTGCTTCCGCCGAGCTTCTCCGTTTCTACGCCCTTTCCGACCCACCTCACAGTGACCTCCGGTACGCCCGTCTTTTATTCGACCAAATGAACCAACCCAATTGCTTCTCGTGGAACACCATCATTAGAGCTTTTTGCGATAGCGATGATCCATTAGAATCCTTCATTCTGTTTAACCAAATGGTCGAAAATGGCAACGAGTTTGTGAAACCCAATAAGTTTACGTTTCCGTCTGTGCTTAAAGCTTGCGCCAAAACTGCTAGGCTCGAAGAAGGCAAGCAAACTCATTGTGTTGTATTGAAGCACGGATTAGAGAATGATGGGTTTGTGTTGAGTAATTTGGTTCGAATGTACGTCATGTGTGGTGCCATGAACGATGCCCATATGCTTTTTGATTCAAAAAACATGAATTCAACAATGGGTGAAACTGTTTTATGGAACGTGATGATCGATGGTTACATTAGACTTGGGGAACTCGAACTTGCACGGAACCTGTTCGATAAAATGCCTCAACGAAGTGTGGTCTCTTGGAATTCCATGATTTCTGGGTACGCACAAAATGGGTTTTTCATGGAATCAATAGAATTATTCCGGCAAATGCAGATCGAAGATGATGTTGCAATCCCGAATTACATTACTTTGATTAGTGTACTACCGGCGATATCAAGAATTGGTGCACTCGAGATCGGAAAATGGGTGTATTTCTACGCACTCAAGAACTGCATAAACATCAATCCGGTGCTCGGTTCTGCTCTGATCGATATGTATTCCAAATGTGGAAGCATTGAGGAGGCAGTTCAGCTCTTCGAATCTCTCGCTAAAAAGAACGTAATCACTTGGAATTCAATAATCACCGGGCTCGCAATCCACGGTCGAGCTACTGATGCTCTCAACCATTTTAAAAGGATGCAAGAAAACGGGATTTCACCAACAGATGTAACCTACATCAGCGTTTTAACTGCATGTAGCCATGCGGGTTTAGTCGACCAAGGGATGTCAATTTTCAACCAATTGGTTCAAACTGTTGGACTAGAACCAAGAATCGAGCATTACGGATGTATGGTTGATCTACTTGGTCGTGCAGGCCGGCTAAAAGACGCCGAAGAGCTAATCCTCAAAATGCCGGGTGAACCCGACGACGTTGTTCTAAAAGCCTTACTCGGTGCTTGCAAGAAGCATGGGAACATTGAGATAGGTGAACGTATGGGGAACCGTCTTTTGGAGATCGATCCAGAAGACGGGGCCCCATATGTAGCTTTGTCTAACATGTATGCCTCGTTGGCGAATTGGGACGGGGTTATGCAAACGAGGTTGAAAATGAAGCAAAACGACGTTAAGAAAGACCCCGGGTGTAGTTGGATCGAGGTCAATGGGGCGATTCATGAGTTTGTTGTTCAAGATGAATCGCATAAAAAAGCAAAAGAAATTCATATGATGTTGGAAGAAATGACGGAGAAGTTGAGTCTGGTCGGGTACAAACCCGACATGACTCAAGTTCACCTGAGAATGGAGGACACCGAGAAAGAATCGGTTTTACGTCATCATAGCGAGAAGATCGCGGTCGCTTTCGGGTTGATAAGCACGAGGCGTGAAACAACAGTTAAGGTTGTTAAGAATCTTCGGATATGCGACGACTGTCACACGGCTATTAAACTCGTTTCTAGAATATACGATCGAAAAATTATTGTAAGAGATCGAAAACGATTTCATCATTTTGAGAACGGATCGTGTTCTTGTATGGATTATTGGTAACATCGACTGTAAAGATGGACAACGCTTATTGCATGAATACATAATTTTATATTTAGGTGTCAGTTTTTTAAGAGGTGCTAGAAGTTTAAAGTCTTATTTCACTTCTTATTGATAAAAGTCGGAGCGAAAGTCTGAAATCTGAATCAAAAAGACTGTTTGTTTCTGTAAATTGATAAATGTCAATTTGTTTAAATTATCTATTTTGTTCATCGGAAAATTATAGTATTGAATTTATAGATAAATTTATACAATTTCATATATTTATTCCTCATCATTACCAAAATTTACATCAAAATTACATAATTAGCATCCATTTAAACGAAAATATGTCATTAACGATATTTAACACTTGTAAATCCTATTAAAATACATCAATTGAGAGAGGTGGTGATCGATTTGGCAAGAATCACTTGAGAGAAAGGATCCATTTAAGGTTAACCGATTGAAAAACGTCGTTACAGAATGTCTGGAAAACAATAAGAGGCAAATAAGATGTTGGTTTACCTTTTATCAGATAAGAGGACAACAAGAAATAAGTGTCTCAGGAAATTAAAAAAAATAATAAACAGTGTAAATGACTATCTTTTAAAAAATCACATATAAGATACTAATAAAAACTTTTACTTCAGGTAGTGTTTGGTAAGCAAATAAGATGGGACAGGACAAGACTAATTATATGTTCTATGTTTGGTACGATTAGTACAAGACATGACAAAACTGTTAAAATGACCATATTACCCTAAATGTTGTTTAATGTTATTTTATATTATATAATGATTGTATATGGGTTCTAAACCTCATCAATCGACCCCTTCACTTTCGTCATTTGTAACCACGATTTATTCTTTTAGATTGTACTTGCAATTAATCTCTTTTTTCTCTCTCCCAAACTTATCTGATAAACTGAAACTTCATGTTGCTCCTTCAAGAATTGGTTGACTACATAATCCCATTGAAAGATATAAAAGAGGCCACCAGCAGTGGCGGATCCAACATATTTTAAAGTAGGGGGCACACTTAGGGGTGTAATCGTGTAGAAAAGTAATTCAAAATTCATTCGGATGAAAACGGTTTTGGATTTTCCTTTTCGACTTAAACGGTTCAGTTAACCGAATAAAGATAACTTATTCAAGTCGATTTTCAGATGACTTTTTACTAATTCATCTATGTGTATAATTTTTATATTTTGTATTTCGAAAAAAATATAAATGTGTGCTGCAAATGGACTAATTAACAATCAAGATATCAAGCTGAGGGCCCTTGTCTTATTCTTGTTGGGGCCTTGTCTTATTCTTGTTGAGTGCACAATAAGAAAAAGTACCAAACAAATTTTTTATAGTTTTTTTTTTTAAATTGGTGGGTTTGTTGGGGGCCTAGGACCCCTACCAATATGTATTGAATCTGCCACTGGCCACCAATAACTTTAGTCATGAAAATGTTGTTGATGAGAACAGCTACGTAAAGGCGTATAAAGGAGAACTTTTACAAATGGGATGAATTAGGTTTTTATTGGAATGGAATAACAAGGGTAATATTGTCATTTTAACTTCAGTCCCATGTTGTTCCACTTTTTTTTGTGGAACAAGAAATATCAAGATTTGTCACATGAAAATTAAAAATAGTCCCACCTTATCCCATGTTTTTTATTCATGACATGCCAAACATGAGACTATTTCTGTTTATCTCATCCCGTCCCATCCCATGTAGTCTGCATACCAAACGTACTCTTAAATTGGTTTTTGAATACACGTTTTATGTATGATTATTTAATAATAAATCATTAGAATAAAATAATTTACGTGTTCTAAAAATTGTGTTTGAATATGTTTTTAAAGTTAAGAATATTTTACAACTTTTATTCATTTATCATTATCATTATCATTTTTGTTTATTTTATTATAAATCAATTATTTCTATTTAAATACCAAATTTTATTTAATGTATTTTAAGTAATAAAAGAAGATTAATAAATATTTTTATTTATTTAAAATAATTATATAAATTTATTTAATAATTAAGCTTACTAAAATTCAATAAACGTATTAAAAAAAAAAGATGACTCTACTCATAAAGTTACGGTAGCTAAATTTGTTTAAAAGTCTACAAAATTGGTTAAATTTTATCCCTTCAATAGTAGCTAATTTACTGAATAACCCTTTTATATTTTTATCCCAAAATTCTGTCTTTTAACAATAACTGATCTTCATCGATGTTATTAACATGTCTCTGACACATTCACAACTTGGTCCACCAAACAGTTGATACCATGCGGTTAAAAACTTGTTCAATGTTTATTTAGTTTTTTCTTTCTTTCTATAAATATCCACTTTAATTATCTAAATTCCACTTCACAGATATAAACAGATAACCAGAAGGATATTATAGTTATGACTTATAAGAGAATCAAAAATGGTTTTTTTTTCTTCCCGATTAACCTGGATATCCAACCCGCTATACGAGCCGACTAATCTTAGGTCGACCACCTGCTTTGCAGATAGCCCGGAGTCACCGCATTTGAACCTCCGTGGCCACAAGGGGATTTTTATTCCTTCTTGGATTTGAACCTGAGACCTCTTGGTACTTTTGACATTTGGAGCCAAGCTCAAACCAATCAGACACCACCCCTGTGGTTAAAAATGGTTATTAACAAGTGGAGCATTATCTTCCTCCTAGCAATGGTAGCACCTCTAGCTATTTCAGTTATAACCAAGTTGTTTATTGTTAGTGACGACAAAGGTTGGACTCAACGTTGATTATCAAGCTTGGGCCAATGACAAGCAATTTTGTGTTGGCGATCAACTTAGTATGTGTCTCATTATACAGTGAACTGTGAACCTTAATAATGTCTTATATGTGTGTGTGTGTGTTTCAAAGATATTTTGCAAAAATATATATATATTTGAAAGTTAATTGTATCTTGATAAAACCGTTACATCCCGCCGCATTACGAAGGTACATAACTAGTAATATAATAATTACTTTTAAAATGACTTATACATTTTTAATGGGTGGGTTTTAAACTGATACATTTTGAGCATCATCAACCAACAGCTTCTCTATGATTTCTTTAAAATAAATAACTAAGAATCAAAATCTCTAAAAATAAATTACACAACTTCTCTATTTTAGAGATTTTGTCATTAATTATATCATTTAAATATTCTATAATTTTATAATCGCAATATACTTTTTTTAAATATATATAAAATTATATTAGTTCAACCTTCATTAGTGGGGATGTATAAAAAAAACTCATTTCTCTCTATTTTCTTTGGACTTTTAGAGAATTCTATATATTTAGAGTTTTCTCCATGATTCTCTATTCTACAAATTGATATAGGAAAGTTGTTGGAGCATTATATAGAATAAAAAGTTGATTTTCTTTATTATAGAGAAGTTGTTGGAAATACCCAACTTATAAGAAACCTGTTTATGTCGTTATGATTTACTAGAAGAGTACTCGTGCAATGCAGCGAGACAAATCTCGATTTTAATGTTCTATTTTATTATTTGTCTATGTCGATGTTATAATAAGATTTTATGTGTTTTTAAGAAAGCAATAATGATTTTATTTTTGAATAAAATATAAATTTGAAGATATCATAAAAATTTGAAAAAAATATATATCAATGTTAATATCAAATCAACTATTTAAAAGTTCTCATTTTTTATGTAATTTCTTTAATTTTTTAATTATAATTTAATTTAAGTTTAATAACGAAATAATTTATTATTGGTTTAANGTAATCTTGAATTTTAAGTAATATGCATTAATAAATAGTACTTCGTGAATAAAAAATGGTTTTTAAGAGTTTTTGTCAAATGCTTTATAATACTAGAAGAGTACTCGCGCAATGTAGCGAGACACATTTCGATTTTAATGTTCTATTTTATTATTTATCTATGTCGATGTTATAATACGATTTTATGTGTTTTTAAGAAAGCAATAATGATTTTATTTTTGAACAAAATATAAATTTGAAAAAAAAAATATATCAATGTTAATATCAAAGCAATTATTTAAAAGTTTTCATTTTTAATGTAAAGCAATTATTTAAAAGTTTTCATTTTTAATGTAATTTCTTTAATTTATTTTTTTATTTATAATTTAATTTAAGTTTAATAACGAAATAATTTATTATTGGTTTAATAATATAACATTTTATAAAGACAATAATTAAGTATTCTGTTATAAATCAATAACTACCTTAATTATATTTTAGATTTTTTATATTTAAAATGAGATGTTTATCATGTATTTGATTATGTTTATCAATAGTTAGTTACACGAATTCAGATATGGAGCTTTAATAAGTTGTATTTATGCACCATCTACTTGTAACTTTGAATTTTAAGTAATATACATTAATAAATAGTACTTTACGTATAAAAAATAATTTTTATCAAATGTTTTATAATATAATATAGATGAGACGAAGAAAAAATGACATGTTCCACACTCATCTTTTGGTGTCCAAAGCTATTAACATGAACTCGTTCGTAATTTTTAAGGATAAATGATAAATAATTCATTATTAAAGATAAAATGGTTATAGGATAATATAAAAAATAAAAAATAAAAATCTGATGTGAAGTGACATTACATGAAAATACATCATGCGTGGAACAAATAATAGGACCACCACTTTGCTTTGCCCCTGCAAGTTATATTAAGTGCATGTGTTCTTACTTTTTAACATACTACAAGGGTTTTTGATGTTACGTTTTATTTATTAATATAATTAGGGGTGTTTGGAATTGTTTATAAAAATAATTTATTGACTTATTTTGATGTGGCATCGGTAATAAGCGTTTTTGAGTGTTTGGATAAATAACTTATACCGGTGCCAAACTGGTAATAAAGAGTTTTGAAAGAAGTTAAACTTTTCTGACTTATAATAAGTTGATAAGTGCTTTTGTAGAAAAAGAATAAGTTGTTTCAAATAAGCAATTCCAAACACCCCCTTAGATTAAACCTTTTCTTGGTCGCGTCGGATTGGTGTAGGAGGTGTGGGCTTGTTGATTAATTATGTTCATGATTTACATTTAAAAAGCTATATTCCTTTTCAGATATTTTAGATATAGAATCTCGTATTTACATTAAAAAGTTATATTCTCTATGAGAAGACGATTCCATTGTTCACAATTTCAAAAGATGATTCTGTAAAGCGAGTTTCAGAAATCGGTTTTCCATTGTTTACGATTTCCGAAGGTTAGTGGAAAAGAGTTTGGTTCGCTTTTCCTTTGTTTAAGTTCGAGTGGAAAATGTGTTGGTGGGTTTGGAACGAGAAGGGGAGATGTGGGTAGGTCCTTATGATCATAACTATTTAGCCTCTTCCTTATACTATTAGGGGCTTGGTTGAGAGTATTAGAAGGTAATAAATAGAAATGATCATAACTGATACTATTTGGTTCAAACAACGAATGGAAATGAAATAAAAATGGTGTTTGGTTTAAAAAATATAATCAATCATTATAATAGATTTGAGTAAAATGCATTCCTTCCCAGTTTGGGGGGAATAGGAAGCAACCAACGAAGACCTAGTGGTATGTGAGCTTTTGGCCTCCTATGAGGTTAAGGGTTCAAACCTCACTAATGTGAGGAGGGTGTGTGAATTTATTTGTTGCATTTGTCATATATGGATAATATGGCAAGTCAAATCAAGATGGCATCAAATCAACACCAAAAAGAACAATGGAGAACATTGAGATCGATCGAGAAACAAAGCATCAGGAAACACGACATTATTCATCTTCATCTTCGATCTGCACAAGCATCTGGAAGCCTAGTTGATCGTTCATGTCACTTTCATCTTCATATGTTCGATTTGCATCTTTCATCTACATTTGGATCTTCATCCGTTCATTTTCCACCTGTGACGGTGGTCAATGGCGGTTCAGATCGGCGGTGGTGAACGATGGTTTAGATCGGTGGTATTGGTCGACAGTGGTGGTCAACGATGGTTTAGATCAGTGGTGTTGGTCGGAGGTGGTTCAGATCGATGGTAGTCGATGATGGTTCAAATCAGTGGTGGTCGATGGCGATTCAGATTGGCGGTGGTTCAGATCAAGTAGATGATAGATAAAGATAATTTCGTCCTTTTGAGAATTCCTTTTCAATTATGATGGAGTGACCAAATCCATGAATGGTAGAATGTGTAAAATTCAATTCCATTCCATAGATAAAACAAAAGCCTGAATGAAATTTGGTCAATGAAATTGATCATTTCCAATTCCTTCAAGTTTTGCCGGATTCCTGCGAATCAAACACCCCCTTAGGGTTAGCGAGCAATGGATTTTGTTCATTCTTGTTTGATTTTTGTTAGAGTCGACACATATTTGTCCAAATTTTGATTCTGAAATTAATTTTCTTCATATTATTATTCATCTGTTTGAATTTTTGTTAGGTTGGGAATATATTTTGATTTTTAAATGGATTTTTTTCGTCATTGTTCTTTTGTTAGGGTTAAGGAGGAATAATGTTGTTCAATATGGGGAGTTGTTTGATTTTTTCGTCATCAAATTTTGATTTGTTTAATCTGAAGACGTCTTTCTTCTTTTTCATCTTCAATTTTGATTTCTTCGATTGGGACATTGACGAAGTTTGGACTATTAAAACTAGATTATATATGAAAGGAGAGAGATCCTTACTATTGGATGCTTTTCTGTCATCCAACATAAACAATGTAATTCAATGCAATATAATTAATATATATATATATATATATATATATTAGTTGTACAAATGTAAAATGTTGTATAATAACTCACCCTTCTTCCTCTCTCTCTCTCTCTCTCTCTCTCTATATATATATATATATATATATACACACACATTATATTCATTCCCACTCCTTGGCTTTTTTGTTACAAATTTATTAAAGCATCTCCAACAAATTGTTTAAAATAGAGAAAGTGAGATTTTAGTCCTTTTATTATGCTCCAATAAATTCTTATATTTTAAAATAGATTTATAATTTTGATTTTAAGAATCGATTTATAATTTTGATTTATTTATCCATTTAATAACCCATAATTAGAACTTGGTTTGTTGAAGAGAGAAATTAATTTTTTAATTTATTTCCAACGATGAAAATGAATTTTTTATTCATTCCTATTAAAATTATAAATTTACAAAATAAAGTATTTGTATAAAATACTTGAACAATATAATGAAAATTGAAATATCTAAAATAAAGTATTTGTTGAAGTCAACTCTAATTTTTTTTAAAGATTTTGATTTTGATTTTCAGTTTTCTATTTTGATTTTTCTTTTATAAAAAATCTGTTCGAAACGTTTTTTAAATGAGTTTCTTTTTAAATTGACTCAAATGGTCATTCCATCAATTCAAATTGTCTCTAAACCATTCCCTTCATGGGTTTTCCAAATGTTACTATGTCTGCAATATTCACATCCACAATCAGCAATATTCACCTAAATGTCAGTATGTCCACGATATTGCGGACCTAGCTAAAAGACAAAAAAAATTCAAATTCCATCGGGTTTGCAAGAGGCACCGTTGCAACTGCGGACCTGGTCGTCGTGGACCTGTTCGACGCAATTGCGCACCTGGATTGCATCTAATAATCTTTTTTTTTTGGGTCTTTTAATTAGGTCTATAATATTGCAAACGTAAAGACGTTTAGGGGGTGTTTGGGATTACTTATTTGAAACAACTTATTTTTTTTTATAAAAACACTTATCAACTTATTATAAGTCAGAAGAGTTTAACTTCTTCAAAAACTTCTTATTACCTGTTTGACATCACTTATAAGTTGTTTATTCAAACACTCAAAAGTGCTTATTACCGGTGCCATATCAAAATAAATTAATAAGTTGTTTTTATAAGCAATCCCAAACACTCGTTAGTTAAATTCAGGAGATCAATTTAATGGACAAAATAGTGATTTAGTCGATTTTCCTTTTTTTTTAATTTTAAATTAACGGTCGAAAATAGCAATTATAAATGCAACCGTCTCGCATGATGAAAACTGGCAGAGGGAACGAATGATTCTTCTTGCGACCTTTTTCGCGGAGCGATATGTCTAAATCAATTCCAAGTCAAGGCCACCATGAACGACGATAGTCAAACTTCCATCATCAACCTTTCTTATGGAACCTTCTTCGTTCTCCTTTTAACAATCTCCATTCATTCTTCCCAACTTTCCTCCTCGGAATTGTAGAGACATAGAGGAAAAATGGGGCATGGAAGTTCGAAATCAAGTTCCTCTGATGACTCTACAAACGGCGGAGTTTCCAATTGCAAATCAAGCACGTCGCGTCGAGAGAGAATCAAGAAGAAGCTTCACCTTCACCGTCGTCGTGGTCGTCCCGCCGGAAGCAGTCGCGGGCACTCTAAACTCAGCAGTTTAGAGGATTTTACCGGCATCGCTTTGGTTACTCTTATTAGTGTATGATATTGATTGTAGACTATGATTAGCTGTTGTGCATGCGCCTAATTTGTTGTTTTTTGTTGATAATTATACAATTTATAGTATGAATTTCGATTGAATTTTTGTTTTAATTGTTTTGCAGGCGGAGATGAAATTTAAGGATAAGTGGCTTGCTTGTGTTTCTATCGGAGAACAAACGTTTCGCACCGAGACTTCTGACCAGTTAAGTACTGATAACAACCTCTGATTTTATGTTTTTGGGAATAATATTTGAGCCAGTTATATGTCCGTTTTCATGATCAAAGTTTTATAAACATGGCTCTTTGTTTACGAGATTCTCTTCCGGCAAATACTTTCACACAATTTTGAACGGAAAATAGTTTATAGTTATTTGAAAAGGGTTGCATAATTTCAGATTTTAAAAAATGTACATAATTAGATGCTCTTTTGAGATATTTTAGCAGGAAGAAAATCAAAAAATGTTGGCCAAGCATGAAGAATAATGGAAAAGTAGATATTTAACATTAAACATGTTTTGGTGCACGAATCTAGAAGGTGGACACTACTACTTAACTTTAAAGGATTCAAAGGAAGAACAAGACCGTGTTAACATGTTAGATACCATTAGCCCAAGGGGTAACACACTCACCTTAACACATCTTTGGTGGTTCTTAAGCAAAAGCGATATCCGTAGGAAATTATTTCAAGCTATGCCTTTGTTTGGCGTTGTCTCATTCTAATGACTCAATAATGAGACAGAAGTGTTATATTGCTTACTCATAATCATGTCATTTGGTAAGCTAAAATGGGCCACAAGTAACTATGTGTGGTTGGTATCTTTGTTGTATCAACAGATGGTTTGACTCCAGTTGTTTCAATCGGCACTATTTCCTTGTATAGCAGGAGATTCATTCATATTGAAAGAGTCTATCGATTTATTGGGGTTGTCAAGATAATTAATGAAAATAACCCACAGCATAAGTTTTATGCATGAAGAGTATTGTAGGAATCTCCGTTTCATACAGATTAAGTTCTAATATATTATTCTATCTATGTTGGTGTTACACCCTACAATCATGATTGTGTGGTCAAATCATAAGTACTTAATTACAAAACACCCACTTGGCTAAATGAGTTGCATTCCTCCATCCTCTTCCAATCAAAAGGCCAAATTTTCTACATCTCAATAATTTCAGTCTCTTTTCACTACTTTTGTTCGTTCAATCTTGTCACTGCTTCTTGTAATGTTATGCAGTTGGTGCAAACACTTGGTAATTAGTACATCCTAAGGTACAGTTTGGTTAGAGTTGGAGCATCTAAAGTGGGTAAGGAGGTGGGCATCCTTGCAGGAAGAGTGCGAAGTCTGGTCTACTACAGGCACCGCCCACCTGCCCCTGGGACACGCTATTTACCTCCCCTATGATGGTTGTGGGGCCGGTAAGATGGGGCGCTCCAATTGGGTGGCGTCATACCCTTTTTCACAAGGATATCATTTTCTTCTCAGTTACTATGTACACCTTGATATATAGATCCTTGGAGCATAATCAACTTCTATGCTGTCATAGAACTTATAGTTAAACTCTAATTAGATTTGGTGATGCAACGTGCCCCTTCATCACTAGGTTATCCTATAACCAAGGTCCTAAATTGTCTTCCCCTTCTATAATATTGGTCCAAGTAGTTGAATGATACTCCTTGGATTTACTATACCACTTTATCAGCTCTTCCAATATTGTTAAAAATAAAATTCAACGTACTCTGTCGAAATAATATATATTTACGATCCTTAGATTCCAACATGATTTTTGGAACGCTTCAGCTTAGTAATTGTGAATTATAAGCACATCTAAATAATGAGAGACCATATAAAGATACGAGATATATTGACTCCTCGTCCCAAGCTCTCATGTTATCGATCTTACAACTGTATGTATAGTTCTACTTTCTGAAAACACTCATTTCAGTAGTAGCATGCTTACTTTGCTTGCACCCGTTCTGTGTAATGAAGGGTGGTTGAAATTGGTAATTCCTTCCATCCCATGAAAAATGCAACACTGCACATTCTAATTCGAATTTACCTAGTTATCCATTAGTAACCGTTACAACATATTGGTGAAATTGGTTGTGGTCCACAAGTTTTCTCAATTTTGTCTTATTAAGGATATTTTAGGTATTTGACTATTAGTTAAAGAGTTTTCTTAAATTACGTGTCAAGTCAAACATCAAAGAATTGGGAATTTAGTGGTGCAATGTTAAGAGATAGTGCAACATGAAGATCATTTTTTGGACGGAGGGAGTACTAGAACTTCAAACTCACAGAAGTCAGAATTATCAAATGCAGATCGATAATTGCTGAAAAGCAAAATATGCTCTCATCAAAATATATTTTTTCCCTTCAGCTATTAAAAACATATTTTGTAATGATATATTATATGAAACTCAACACCTTCTGTAGTCTTAGTTGCTAAATATTTCAGTCTGAATATATCTTTTATTTGCATATCTTGAAAGTAGTTCCAGAAATCATACTTTTTCTTTCACTCATGCTTCTTACCTAATTTTTGAATGACGTGCAGGACCAACAAGCCTACATGGAACTCGGTGAGTGAATTTTATTACATATAGCTTAAATCATCAGTCCTTGGCTGTAGCACATGAGGCATCATAAGCCTTCCTTTCGGAATGAAGAATCATCCCTTTAGGAATCCTAGAGGTTTGATAGTTCTTATGAACTCTATTCAAACAACTTCACCAGACCCTTTTTGAATGTCTAATGATCTCCATATCCATTGAAACTACAACATGTGATAGTCAATCTGTCTCTCTCCTCTCCGTTGGATATATGTAGAGACTGAGATTTTGGTACATCTTAGTGGTCAAGATCTGTGAGCTAGTAAGAATATATGCCAGGTTCCTGTCATAAATTAAATCATGTTTCCTAAATATCATATTTAATACAGACTTCATTTTGTTTATGTTGTGCTATTTTTTGTGCACAATGACATTAGAGTTATCATCATGGTCTTGCGATATGTTAGCGACTTCCATAAATTGGACAAATACCATTTGGTCTAAATTCATGACAACTTAGAGAAAGAAATGTACACTTACTCATGTGCAGTTTTTGAGTTGAAGCTTTTATGATTTGGTTCGAGTCATTTCCGTCCATAAAATATAAACCACAAGTGGTATGCGATTATTTCTGAATGATTGTGCTATGGATATGATGACAGAAACATGTGCTTCTTGACTCTTGAGTTATATTATGTCCTGTGGTTTTGACATATGCAGTCAGTGACATTACTTTTGTTATGCTACAGGAGAAGAAGTTCTTATTGGAAAGGAATGGGCCTCATATTGCAAAAATATCTGTTTTTGAGGTCCGTAGAACCTGAGCTTGATCTCTCTCTCTCTCTCTCTATAACTATGCGCACGCACGCACACACACACACACACATATATTGGGTCATGTGAAAAATTACCATGAATGGCTTCTTCTCTTTTATGATCATTCCATTGCAATATACTTATTGAGGGGGAAAGAGGGACAGAGGTGTTTAGGGGCTTGAGTGGCCCTTGGCCCTTGACTTTGACAAAATAGCATATTGTTTATGTTTGATTAAAACTAGAATCTGCCAGCTGGCACTTCAAGATTTTCAAATAAGTTCACATAATATTATTCGGTTGTGGTGCATGTTATGCTTGCTGAAGGACTTGGAATGAAAGCATTTACCAATGTTGTTGATGTTCTAGAGCTCTGTTCAATATCAGTAGTTTCTGATGGGTATGCTTGTTGATTGGATCTGTCCTTTGTGGACATCTTATATGGGACAGCTAACGACCTCCTCTATTTTGTGGCTTAGAATGTCGTGACAACACACATGCTCGTTGGATAATATCATAATATCATGAAATGTGAATGCTAAGGCAGATGTTATCGATATGAGGATGGATAATATCACAAATAAGAACTTATACAATAAGGTCAGGCTGGGGAGTAAGTTGGGAGTTGAAGAGAGGTTTAGGATTTTCTTCTGTGTTACCATGTTACTATACTACTTTTCTCACATGTCTCCTAGTTTTTTGCTTTTGTTTTGCAAGTTGGGGGTCTTCACAGAAACAACCACTCTACCGTCTAGGGTAAGAGGCAAGGTGGCCCACATCCCCCCTCCCAAAAGACCCTACCTCAATGTGGAATATACCAGTTTGGTTTGATTTGGTTTGTTTTTTAGGACCATTGTTATCCAAGATAGAAACTAGTAAATACATCGCAATTTATTTCTTAGTTTCTATGCTTGTAGGACCAAAAGTATTCTATAATGTGGATGTCTCGGATCATAATGATTCTACAATATACTTATTCTGTATCTACTTATGCTACGTCTCTTGAATGTTTGGACTTCATTACCTTTTCTTGTGTTGCAGACCAATAGGCTGTCGAAGAATAACCTCATTGGGTATTGTGAGGTAGATCTTTTTGAATTCCTTAGTCAGGTAAGTTCTTTCTGGAAGAAGCGTATATTGTGTTCCATGTCTTTCCGTATGAAGTTCTTTGATTGTGAATTTGGACTGTTTTATTTCTGCAACTTAGCTCTAAGATCACTTGAACCAACAACCAAAAGAGGAAAATCCTTCATGACTGCCGAAGTGTCTTAATCATTTCGAGTTGATTATCAATTGCAATTGTTTATAAGCCTTTCCTTTCTACGAATTTCTTCAAAGGCAGGTTCTGTGTGTCTATCCAGATTCATGCATTCTATGTAACTGCTTTACATGTATATAACTAGTTTTTATGCCATCAAAGAGCATAGAATGTTGGAGTTATTATTATATCATAATCAGGGTTGGTTTTGCCCATGGCAAAAGTAAGTTAGCATATTTCTGCACGGTTATGGAACACTACCAATTTCCTTCCACAAGTTCCAAACCTAACCCAACCATCCCCTCTCCCAAAGAACAAGAAATAGGAGTTCATATATGAGTGGAGACCATAGGATAGATTGCTTAAAACATTGGCAGAGTAATTCAAGACGCATTTGCGGAGAGAGTAGCAAAATTAATTAAGAAGTTATGGTTCCTAACAGAGTTAAAATCCAGTTTTCTGAACGAGCACCTCTATATGCATCATTACATATCTTTCTTCTTTGTTACTTTAAATTTTCATTCACATTGTGGACAAGCAAACTTGCTGCCTAATAGGAGATTGTTCCCTGTTGCGGATATTCTATCTTATACTCCAGTTATCTGATTGCTGCATTGGGGGTTCACATTCATTCCTTTTTTATTCTATCTGGCATAGTAGATTTACTTGGCATTCATGTGTTACAGGATTCAGGCTTTGACACTAAAATGTTCGATTTGTTGGATCCATCATCCTCCAGTGTAGTGGTTGGCAACATATCTCTTTCATGTTCTGTTGAGGTGTGCTACAATGACGTATTTTTGTCCCATCCACAATTGGTTAAGCAATGAATCTGTGTGTAACATAATTTTTTTATTGGCAGGACCCAACTGAAACAGAGAAAAGTTTTGCAAGACGTATCTTGTCCATTGTCGTATGTTGAGATCATCTTTTATCTTCTCTCTAAATGTTTTTCCTTTACCTATGCATAGGCAGTAATGCCCTTTAGTAATAAGGGAATCTCTGTTTTTATACAAGCTTTTAGCTATAAGTAGGCATGAAGGAACATTGAGGTGACGTGAGGAAGTTAAATTCCTACTTTCACTTGAAGAAGTGCAAGATCAATTCCTTATTGATGTAAAATCACAGAAAACATACACAACAAGAGTAGGAGCATTTAAGCAAAGATAACGAACTCAATTTGGCATAATTGATCACTCTCGGACGCATTTTGTGTGATTTTTATTACAAGTCTGATGAAAAGATTCGATGAGTGGTATAAAAGATGATAATATCAGTGTTTGGATTGAGTGTTAACGTGGCCTACCCTCTAAGGCGGTAGTGTCTTAGATGTGGCTTTGAACCCCCATCCCCTTTTCTATTTAAAAAAAGATAAAAGCTTTAGTAATTTAGATTTAGGGCTTCACTTTTCGTAGTGAGAAGTTTAATCTACTTTTAAAGTTTAAGACAATCTTCTTTACCTTGAAGGCTAACAACTTCATATTTAAAACAAGAGGATATGTTCTAAAAACATATTTTTACTTTGTCAAATGCATCATTGTTTTATCAAGTAAACATGTATTGCTACCTCATCGTTTCTTATGATTTTTGGACTTCAATTTTTCTAATTGTTTTGGGGTGCTTGGTTGGGGGGTATAAGGGGGTGGGAATGAGAATGAGGATGGGAATGAGAGTCATTGATAGTGCAAGGTTTAGGCAAGGAATGGGAATGGAATCATTAATAGTGCTTGGTTTAATATAATGGAATCAATCATTGATGGGTGTGGGGTAATGAACCATTCCTCACTAAATTGGGGAGAATAAAAACAATGCAATGGGAATCTCCATTTCGTTCCCCACCATTTTCATTCCCATTCCTTAAAATGAACCAAATTGCCCCCATAGTGTTGCTTTATGTTTTATTACTGAGAAGAGACCCTAATTAAACAAAGCAAAAAATGAGTAAGTAGGTTGAGAACAATGAAATATATAAAAACCTGTTTAACAAGACCATATGGTAGCAACTCTGACTAACCCCTCTGGTTGGAGCATAGATATTGCCCATGCCTAACTTGCCACCAATGAAACTAAGAAGCCAATAAGGGTCTTCCATAACGGTCTATTCAGAATGGCGTACTCGCTTTGGATATGAACATGTTGGATGGATGGAGGATTGATTGTTCCCACTTTAGTTCTCTTGTGGAAATGCTTGCCACATGATTATAACCATATAGCCTCATATGTTGTTGTGGACTCATTTAAGTCATCGAGTCGTGGTCATTTCACAAGTGACATGCCTTATGGTTCAATATTCAGATTCAACAATGGAGCAACAAATTGTAGGTTGTTTCTTGCTTTGTAGGTTGTTTCTTTCCGGTTTAGCTCCAATCTCCCAACATTTTCCCCAAGCCAGGGTCTCCATGAAAACTGCCTGTCTACCTGTTGTGGGTAGTAGAAAGGTCTAAGTACATCCTACCCCTAGACCCTACATCTTAGTGGGATATATTGGTTCGTTTGGTTCGGTTTGCTTTTGAGATTGTCACCAACAGTTAACAAAGGCACAGTAACGAGTAGTGGGTCTCTAAGTAATAGGGCATCTTGCCTCATTGGCTCATTTTCTGAGAAGCTTATGATTATGCTTGATCCCTCATCTTTGAACAGTCCTCCTGTGTGTAGTCTCCATAATTGGAATATAAAATAACCCTGTGTCAAGATTGATTTAGATATCTCACAAGATATGAGAATATCCAAATGGCAGGTGTGTGATGCAGAATGAATTGAACTATTGCGCTTCAAGAGTAAAGAGCAAAAACCAGATAAAGAGTTTGCTACAAGGCACCTACATTTCTTTGGATCTTTCAGAGGCTTCCCATTTTCAAGTAGTTTTCTCGTCTAGATCATAGGTGAATCTATTGTTGCATCTAAGTTATCCAAATAAAATGGTAGGTCCAGAATATGTTTCCTCCAACAAAGTTATATGCCTAACGGGACCACACCAATTTTCTCCCCTTAAGGTAATGAAATTGTCCAAGTTGAGTTATCTGAAACCTTTCCCTAATGAAGCCTATGAAATCTGCAATATACTTGATGGCTATCTCGTCTAAGTAAAATTGTCGTCAGCATACACCACCAAGATGATGTGTTTTGTAGGTTACTGAATACTCATCGCTACTCCTTGATAACCCAAGCTCTTGAAGGACCTGAGAGAATTACCCAAACCAAGCTTTGAGAGGCTACTTTAGACAATAGAAAGAATTACCCAAACCAAGCTTTGAAGGCCTATTCCCAAACCACAAAACACAGCAATGATCCATACCTCGTCTTCAAGAAGCTTGGCATACTTGGTGTCATGATGAAGAGGCTAGTGGTGAATAGCTGCAAGTGCAACATAGATGCAGACAAAGGCCATTTCTGTTACAGGAGATGAGTTTTTTTATTTTTCTGCAAGTGCAACATAGATGCAAACAATTCCCTGCTACAATCTCTCTGAAGAGAGAGGAATTTCAGGTCTTTATAATTATTGATGTTATATTAAGTGGGGAACATTAATAAAATGGAGTACATGATAGCTCTTAGGCCAAGAACATTGAAATAATTAACACCCTATTTGACAGCACACACATAATGGGAATACCAGCCGCTAACAATCTAATTGGTATATCTGCGTCTCTATTGATGAAGGTAAATACTGGACATCTAATATATCAAATCAAATACAAAAAGAGGAAAGAGAAGGAAGCAAAGTGAGCGCAAGCCCCACTGCTGAAAGTTGATTGCAGGGGCCCCATGTGGTTTCTGTACCTTTTGTCTCTCTCTCCTCTCATGTGTAAACCATTATCTGCTAGGGATGCGTATCTAGAAGCTTTTGCTTAATTAGTATGCAGGGTCCATGCGAAGTGCTCCTCTACATGGACCGGAAAACTTTAGTCCTTCCGGTCAGCGGGCATGACGCGTAAAGAGTTGATAGCACTTGTAGGATTCGATCCTGATATAGCACTTATAGGATTCGATCCTGATACCTTTTATTAATTGCAACCTTTTGGTTATGCAGGATTACAACGGTGATGGACAATTATCTTTCTCTGAGTTCTCAGAATTAATAAATGCATTTGGCAATCAACAGGCAGCAAAAAAGGTTTGAATTATTAGTCTGCATCTTAGATTAGAATTAGAGATATTTTTATCATATACAGCGAGTTACTTTCTCTCGTGTTAACCAGAAGCAAGGATCGTTGTAATAGTTTATGAAATATAATATACCATGTCTGGTTATAATATGGTACGTAAATGCAGTTACTTTAACAAAATAATAGTGTGAAACTAAAAGTCAAAGGTCTTGCAAATATTAAATAATATGAAAGAGATCCTTGACCTGCAAATCAGCTTGAATAAATACATGTTCCAGAATTGCTTTGTGGGCACTTTTTTTGGTAAACAATTTTTCCATTCTCTGATAGAAAGAGGAGCTCTTTAAGGCAGCTGATGAAAATGGAGATGGTGTTGTCAGCATGGATGAACTGGCTACACTTTTAGCTGTGCAACAAGAGAAGTACGTCACTTGATATTATGACGATGTACATTAATGTTAGGTTTCTGCTATTTTCATTGTGTTCTAATATGAACTCACTTCATTTTCTGTGTAATTTTCTTGACGTTTGTTTGATTGGTGTTTCCTTCATTTTGTATTATTATCCACATTGTCCCATATATCTCTTCGCACTGTCGTGTCACACTGTAAGATGGATTTTCTTACCATCATCAGCTGTCTTGTTAATTGCTTTTCTTTCCTCCTTGACTTGCTTGCTGCTCATGGTATTTGCTTACCAAACCAAATGTATCCAATATATCCCACTCGAAAGTAGGGAGTATTTGCTCTATGTTTCTTGTTAATGGTGTTTATTCAAGGTTGCTACAGAGCACTGTCACTAGAACTAGATTAGTCATTGTTTCCAGCTCCTGTTCCTGAAGCTTATTTAGTCGAAACTCAAATAGAAAACTCTCCCCATGGGACCGGGGTTTGAGGTTGTCATACTGACTAAACATCTTAAACAGTCAGTGTATGCCATAATTCTGTTGCAGGCATCCTTGCTGGATTATCAAGTGTCTCTAATTGCATAATATATTCACAACCAATTCTTAGTTACATTATATTCACCATCCTCTCATTTTCATGGGTAACTACTGGGGAAGGATTCGCCATGCACCAATTTCAGATTTTTTTCCAGCTATATGGTAGACGTGACTAGTATGGGTGCAAGGGGAAGCATCAAAGACACATGTGATTAGATTGAATCAGTTCATGCTACAAGCTTCCACTTTTTAAATACTCTGTTATTATAAATACCTAAAAAAGGCTGATGATACATTACAGTTTCTGTCTGAGGCCTCATTTATCTATTTATTTATTTTTTTCTTGCAGGGAGCCACTCATCAATTGCTGTCCTGTTTGTGGGGAGTTTCTTGAAGTCTCTGATAAGCTGAATTCGATGATTCATATGTCACTGTGTTTTGATGAAGGCACTGGAAACCAGGTTATGACTGGAGGCTTCTTAACTGATAAACAGGCTTCCTATGGGTGAGATCATTTTACCATCAAAATTTCTGATATTTGTAAAGTAAATTAATTATCTTAGTCTCAAATCAATGTTTGTTGCTTTCAAGGTGGATGTTTAAACTCACTGAATGGGCTCATGTCTCATCCTATGATGCAGGCTTGAACTCGGGTTCAAGTGCTTCACATATTGTGGTACTCCCTCACCCAAAAGTTGGAACTCCAATACATTATGCTGCTTGGATATTGTTATCAAGTTAACATTGTGAAGAATTCTCCTTTCTTTTGGATAGGGATTACCTATTCCTCTTATCCCCAGAAACTTTTAGGAAACATAGCCACACCTGCCCTAGATAGGCTGCTTCATGTTTTTGCTTTAAATAACAATAGTCAAGGCGTTACTTGCTTAATGTGGGGAAGAATTTTGTTAGCATGTCTATTATGTTTGAGCGATAACATGAATTTCTATCTCAAATCATGTCTTTGAACCCTCAAATTAATGCCTTTTTCCTTTGACAAAAATATATAGTGTAGGTTTGGTATGATGATCTTTAGTTTCAGCCCATCCACCCACCTATTGATATCTATACTTGCTATGTTTAATGATACAAACATGTTTCCAAGTCCCATGCTTTTCACCTCTATAAGCCTAAACTTTGTGATGGTATTATGGCTGTGGGAATTTATCCTCCAGTACTATTATTAGGGTTGTTTTTATGACACAATGGCATCTCAGCAACTGCATTGGCACTTAGGTTTTTGACCGGAGGAAAAAGAGGCTCGTAGAGGAAATAATTGATGGAAAGATTGTCTTATCAATGAGAGCCATTTATCAATCTAAAGTAGGCCTTGGCATTATGGACAAAGGTAATCTGTTTTCTTATAGTACTTTTTAGTAGTTTATGCATGCCCAATGGAGATGTAGAAATGCTTTCCTAGTGCGTTTCTCTTTCTTGTAAACAAAAACAAGCTTGCATGAATACACACCTATTCAATGAATCTAATGATGCAAAACAAATGTTTTTTACTCCAAAAAATGAATTACAACCAAAGAACTACACTGGATTACCAGCTCTTTGGGAGGCTGGACTCTCCCTAAAGCCATTTATTGATGGGGTATTTCCACCGACTTACCACTCCACTACCTACTTATCATCAGTTTGCTGGTCAATAATAGTGACTGCCAATAGATTAGGTACAGATTAGCCGCTGCCACTAACTACTAACAATTGTTGGTACTTAAATACCCCCACATGCACATCATCTAGCCAGTGTGGGTCTGTAGAGATGTGAACATATCCGCTTTGATTTGGAGCAGTTTACTCTTCGGTGGTGAATATTCTTATAGATCCAGTTCATAGTGTCTTTCAATGTATCTGATTCTACTACATTGTTTGGTGGTCCAATGGGGTGCAGGGGCAAAAGAATTATTGCAGAGCATATCAGAAAAACAGGGCAAGAAAATGAATTCAGTTGAATCTGCGAAAGATATACCAGATTTTCTTAAGTTCTTCAAGGTAAGATAATCCTCATCTAGATGTATCATGCTATTACTTCTTTTCTGTTTGATGCATCAAATTTAATATGTTATGGGTATTTAAATATGTATTACTTTGAGGTACATCTTGATCGCATAACTGACTTGGATTGGAGATGCGTATCTCTTCTATTTGATCCTTTTGCTTATTTCAGCCATATTATACCTGCCTCTGTTTGATTGTTTACTTAAGATGTTATCATCACTGTATGTAAAATATGCAAATTGTTCCAGCTTTATTCCAATGCCAAAATTGCACCTATCAGGTGCAAAATTTACCCTTTTGGGGTTGTGCAATCAATTGCTGCCTCACTCTGGAGTTGCTTTTCGCAGTTGACTATATAAGACATGTATTTATCAACTATCCAGAAGCACGATCCACCCTATTTTATTAGTAATAATTATGAAAGATGACAAGAGGGAGTCTTTGGGGGGGGGTCTATGAGCGTTTTTATACTTTGTCTATGAAAAATGCAAGGATTATTTTGGGTACCCACAGAAAAGCTGTACATTTGATTGCAAATGTGTAGGCAAATGCATGGTAAGGTGGGTAGTTCCTACCTTGCTACATTTTGTCTCTAGTGATGACACTTTGCGGCTGTTCGGTTGTGGATTAATAGACTGCATAGGATGTATGGCTTACTCGGTATGCCATACAGTCTTGTTCGGTTGTGGCTTAGTGCTTCAGCATAGGGCTTATTCGGTCAGCCGAATTAGAGGTGTTGTATACATTCAACCATCAATATTCCATCCATACTCCTTCCCGTCATTCGTCTCTTCCCTTCTTCCACCAACTGCCAACACCGAACGCCATTCCTCCTTCCTTCTTTCACCTTTTCCGGCGCCGTACACCTCCCTTCCCCTGTCTTCCTGCATCGAACATAACCACCTTTAAAGTTCCCTACACCTCCACAGCTCACATCTATTTCCCACTATCTTCCAGCATTGAACCACCACCAGTGCTCAGATCTGTTCCCCTCTGTATTCCATCATCAAACCACCAATGCCATTCACATCTGCTGGTCCCCTCTGTCTTCCTACATCGCACCACCATCACCGTACACCTCCCTTCCCCTCTGTCTTGCTTCGAGACATGCACTCCCCTCCCCTCTGTTAAGCACCACCGCTGGCTGCCGGTCTAGCACTAATCTTCATTCTCTCTGCCCTCGCAAACAAGCCGACCTGGTATGATTTTTGTAGATCCCTTAAAGTGGACTTTTTACCCATCCCCTTTGTTGAACTTGCAGTTGCAGTTGAAATAATTAAAAACAAATATAATGACATAAGCTTTAAAACATCAATTAGAGTAAACTGCTGAATGTATAAAGAACAACTAGCTTTGAGAACTACTATCTTTCTGTGTTCTTCAATGTTCTTTATAGAATAACTGCGAGTGAGGGGTGAAATAGTCATTTATGTCATTCAGATGGATTACTCAGCAACAATTTAGCCTAATCCATACAGGGTTAATGAAAAAACAGACTGAACAGCCCCTTTCACAGTCCCTTTCACAGCCTCACAGGTCTGATAGTTCCTGACACCCTTCATATCCAATTTGTGTCTATTTAGTTTTCATTTTTTCAATTACAGAGCACATATTTGTAGTCCGATTATTCATTATCCTCCCAATTAATCTCAAAATTATTGCCTTCTGTTGACGTAGTGATCGAGTTTATGTCTATTGCTTCTTATTTCTGATTACATTGCCTTGTTCATATTCTAGGATCAAATCAATATGGCTGAAGTTAAATACCCTTTGGATCATTTTAAGGTAAGTCAAATTTAGACTCACTCAAATAATGTCAATGAATAGATTCTAGTCTCTGATTCTTTTGCTTAGCCCTACTTCACACTATGGGCTTACGTATTCTGAATTTCAAATCAAATTGATATTGGATAAAGATAGTCTAGCAAAATAATTTAACTGCTGCTATCTTTGGCATGATTTATCATCGTTGCCATAGTGTTACTAGCCGCCATTCGTGTAGCATAGAAATTTTCATCAGTTATGATCTCGGACCTTACAAATTTATTTATGCAGACATTCAATGAATTTTTTATAAGAGAGTTGAAACCTGGTGCAAGACCGATTGCCTGTGTAGGACGTGATGATATTGCTGTTTGTGCTGCTGATTGTCGTTTAATGGCATTTAGAACAGCTGAAGAAAGTCTCAGATTCTGGATCAAGGTATCTTTCAGCACTTGTCCCCACAATGCACTCACGTGACAAGTACATGCTTCTTTTGAGTTAACTGTTCAAATTCTTCACATAGATCGGAAATCGAAGTTGCAAACTCCAAGAACTGTACACAAGAGCTTCTTCTGTAAAATGGGAAACTTTTGAGACATGAAAAAGATAGAAAGAACCAATATTGATATGGAGCAACCCCCTGTTTGTCGGGTTATGTTGCAACAGTGTTGCACACGCTTAAACACAAACTGTAGAGGTTGAATAGTTGTTCCGTTGTATGGTTTCAAAAGAAGAGGGGAGTGGGTCTCAATGGTAGGAATGTATTATAACTAGCTGAGATGCAATTGAAGGGTAGTTGAGGGTTAACCGCTACCTGAGGGTTCACTTAAGATAAGGTTGACACGCACACAAAAGGCCCTCACCTGTGATGATTGAGAACAAAGTTTAGCACACTCAAATTCAGAATTAATTCTTAGTCTGTAATCATACAAAAGAACTTCTTAGGAGTTTTATAGGCAAGCCAACCCCTTACATTAAAAGGAAATAAAATCAAAAGATCATAGCAACTTAAGAAACTAAATAAAATCAACTTACCAAGGGAACTTAGGAGCCGTTTACAAAATGCTTAATCAGGTAAGTCCTTACCGGAAAAATTCAACACTATCATTTGCCTACCAGGTAAGATTTTAGTCCACCAAAACGGTATCGTATGCAACAATTTACCCAGTAAGTGCTAACCGTGTCATTGCCTTCATTTACTGGGTAAGACTCTCGGTCTTTGCCTTCGCTCTTAACGGCTAAGATTCTTGGTCCTTGCCATATTCATCCGGTAAGATAATTGACTTGGTAAGGCTTACCCGGGTAAGCATTTGGTAAACGGTCCCTTAAATAAAATTTTATCTTCTAGGAGAAGGAAATAATGGTTAAGGAAATAAGATCTAGTCAGCACCACTTGATTCTTCAAAAGAGTTCCCTTATTTAAGCTAATATATAGTATTCATATACGGCAAATGAAATTCACACAGACTCCTCACGTTTGGTGAGGTTGGAACCCTTGATCTCAAGGAAGGTTGGGATACTGGATACCGCTCAGCCAATGACCCTTCGGTGTCTTGGCTTGTGTTGCAAGTGTGATGTGACACTATGTTGTAACGGTGTTGCACACAAGTCCAACTCTTCTTCCACTGTGCCCATATCAAATATGCTTTCAATGGTTTAGAGGTGAAACCATTGACCATCGGCCATGGGCATGTAAGTGCTTAGTTATCACTCCAAATTACTAAACCCCATTCCCAAAAAAGAGGCCAGTTTAAAATCTCGAAGTAAAAGATGATATTTTGGACAGTTGCACATGATCAAATACAAATTAACTAATCGACTCTCTCATATCTTTAAAAGTGGTAAAGTAATTTAAGATTGAACTTGTTTTACTATTGATGTCTTGAAATATGACAATTTTTTCTGCGGCAGAGTAAAAAGAATGTGAACTGGTTTTCTTTGGGAAGGATGGAGAAGTATAAATTGGTTAGCCTATTTCTTTTTTAATCATGCAGTCCCAGTGGACGTAAAAGAGCGAGTTGCAGAATTAACACTTAGTGAATTCATAGAGAAAGAGTTCTTTTTCTCCATTGATTCTTGGTGATATAAGTTCCTAATCATCCATTCTGGGTTTACCGAATCTCTATAGCATTCTGAAAGAAGTAACCAATGTTTTCAAAATCAATAGGATTCTGATTTTGTTTTTGTAACTTTCAGGGTAAAAAGTTTTCTATCCGAGGCCTTTTGGGTGATATACCATGCTCAAATACTTTCATTGGTGGAACCCTGGTCATATTTCGCTTGGCACCACAGGTACATAGTTGCTGATTTTACATTAGTGTCGATCAAAAGAAATGTTCATTTATGTCTTTTTATCCTTTTCTTTTATGACCAACTATGCAAGTGGTTATCTTTTCCGCTGATCGCCCTAAAGTTGAAGCTGTACATATTTTGGCAGGATTATCATCGTTTCCATTTTCCAGTTTCTGGTAAGATTGAGCAGATTGTCAATATACCTGGATGCTTATATACGGTATGTTCAGGGTCAGATGATACCACATGGGTACTTCTATTTGTTGTTTATGATTTACTCTTGTTCATATATATCCCTGATCGTTAATGTATTGTTTATGGCATAGGTTAACCCCATTGCTGTAAATAGCAAGTACTGCAATGTGTTTACAGAGAACAAGCGTGCTGTATCTATTATCTCAACTGCGGATTTTGGGAAGGTATGTCATGTTCAGTCCTTGGTGGCAAGTGTAATGTTTCTGAGGTTTAAGTTCAAATCAACACATAATTAGGTGACTCCATTCACATTGCAACCTTGGCTATGTTTAGCAAACTAGCTGATAAGCTAGCTGTTGGCCGATAAATTAGTTATGTTTGGTGAAAACTAGTTGATAAGCTAGATGACAATGTAAAATAACTTAAAGAACATGTTGAAAAATTAATCAAGGGGCATAATTGGAAAAACTGGAAGGAAAAAAACCTCTGTAGCTTATTGAAACGCTACTCGGAACTCGGAAGTAGTTTTTTTCAAAAAGCTAGCTTATGGCTAACCAAACGAGGTGTTTTTACAAGAAGCGCAAAAAATAAGCTTAGCTTATGGTTGCCAAACATGACCATTCTAACAATGTTAAGAATGCCTTAATTGCTTGATCTTTTTTCCTTTTTCCCCTCCTTTTATTCTTCACCTTCTGTTATTGGTCATAATGTCTTAGCTCCAGACATTGATTTTTCTATACTCAATGGACGTTTCACCTGTGTTAACCTACTAGACCATTGTTGACATTCGTCTTCAGGTAGCATTTGTGGCTATTGGTGCAACGATGGTTGGCAGCATCACATTCACCAAGAAGAAGGGAGACTATGTCCAGAAAGGAGACGAGGTTCAAAATTATGTCATCATACTTGTTACTTTGGTTTTGTTCTTTTTTCATGCAAGCTGGGGGTCTTAACAGAAACGGTCTCTCTACTCTTTGGGGTAGAGGAAAGGCCGCATACGTCTTACCTTCCCCAAACCCCACTTTCTTGTGGGATTCACTTGCTTCTTTTTGTATGTTTAAATTGGTTTAAAATTTCTGATTCCCCTTTCGCCTATTTATTTGTATTCTGCAGTTTGGTTATTTCTCGTTTGGTGGAAGTACGGTCATTTGCGTCTTTGAAAAGGTTAGTAGCATCTAGGTACTTTTAATCAAGTAGTTATGTTTCTTTCCATGTCAATGATATTTGGAACGTATAAATACCTGGATGTATAGCGGTTTGCATGTTTGATTTACAATGTAAGTTCACTATATTACAACAATGATTTTGCAGGACAAAATTGCACTAGATGAGGATCTTTTGGCTTACAGTGCAAGATCAATCGAGACCCTAGTTTCAGTTGGAATGCAATTGGGGGTCTCCGTGAAGAAGCGGGCAGAACTTCCATTGCCAGACATCAAAAACTGCGTGTTAAATGCTTGAAAATGTGAGTCAAAACATGAGGTATACATCTCGTATGGATAGGATGACAAATAGGTAACTTATGTGTTAGAAATCTTGGTTTGGGTCATGTATCGATCGAAATAGACTTGGATAGAATAATGGATCGTGTTTGGGACACTCTTTGAAGGGTATTATTTCGACCCTTTTTCAGTCTTGGATTTCATGAAATTCACTGAAATTAGGAATTAATCAACAGTTATTTTTGGCGTGAAGGTGGTTATTTTGCCGTCAAAACAGTTACCAAGTAACTACCAGTATATTAGAACAGTCATCAATATCGCTGATCAACATCGGTAACTACTCACTCTCACTCACTGAAGTGAGAGCACTAACACCGACTGTACCGGTGACATTACTTATCCATCAGCGTCGCTAAATTAGTGCCACTGAGGGCACTACATTGCCTCAATAATAAAAACACGTTTGAAACGTTTAATCTTAGTGTTACACCCCCGCTATACGGCGAACCTGGGCTCAAATTAGCTTATACGAGCATGCTCTATACACCATCTAAATTGTATTATAGCTCAACCCAATCCTCTTCACTGTATGTTTGGCAGTTGTTGAATGATTTGGTAGAGAATGATTAAGCGGTCAGAATGATTAAGAGGCTCTCATAATATAATGCAAAATGAAATATAATTATCTTATAATTATTTTCAACGAAATTAGGGCTCTGAATGGTCAAGGGAGACCCATGATACAAAATCATTCAGGGGGGTTTTAGAACCATTAAGAGGCAAAAGAAATTTTTGTCAAACAAGATTCACTTCTTAATGATTCAGAGACTGCCTCTTAATGGAACTATTAAGAGGTAAACAAACAACTTCTAAATCTCAAATGCACCAAAATGATTGATAACACTAAAATTACCAACAATATGGTCTTATCATTGCCGCCTAGTTCATTTTCAAGAAATTTATCCTTTCTCTTGCAGCGAAGGTAATATTCGTATTGTATTGTGAGCGATAGGAGTGTTCGGGTATTTGCAGTATATAAAACTTTAAAACAATAACCTCGTTCAATGGAACGATAAGAGAACATTGCATATAACTTTCACCCGCAATTCTAATACAAAAATGGTTTCGATCAACTGTTGCTTATATTTAACACGTAAAGCAAATGATACCTTCAATGACTAAACGTGATCTTGATAATGATGACATGGATTTGATCTAACACGGTTTCGGACAACGCCAACAAGCAAAAGCATAACGAATGCGATGTACTTCATTTTCTAGAACGATAAAATTTCATTCTAGTATATCAAAACAAACACGTCCAATATATCTTATTTGGGAGTTGGGTCCGGAGGATGAGGTTTATGCGAATTCGTCCTCTACCTAAAAAGTAGAGTAGATGTTACATTAGGAGTGTTAACAATTCAAGCTTTATATCACGAGCTTAACAGAGAATAAAGCTCGTTTAATTTAATGATTCAAGCTCCGCAACACCAATGCATGACTCGACTCGTTTGAACGTTTATTTGGATTTTTCAAGTCGAACCAAGTTGAGACATTCGAGCATACGCTCTTTCGAGTCATAAATCATACAATCAAAATATAAAAATTATAAACTTACATCCAATAACTGATAGAAGATGTTCAATCTACAAATAACAGAAGTACCAAAAAGAGTATCAAAGCTACAAAGTCTTTCATTAACTTGTGATTTGAACATTTCTGTGACTCAAATGCCCAAATTTACACATATTTTCCCCTGTACTTTTTCTTGGGATCCTTGGTGCTACATTTATTATCACGATCATCGATCGCCGGAAAATCCGGACTGAAAACAGCAGCATGAAGATTACCTTCCTCCATCCACTTCACATGGTTTTCCTTAAACTCCAAATGTTGGATCCTGGCTGCCTCCGCAATCTCATCAGTATACGGTGCAATCTTCACCATTGTCAGCAAGATCCTGCTATAACGGTAGCTTAGCATCTGTTCGCAGTTGGCCACTAACTTGAAACAAGGGTGTTTTGGGAAATCCACATCGAGTGAGTCGCTGTCTCTTACAACTGGATAGAAGTAAACGAGTCGGCCGCCCATCACCAGCATTTTGGCCGCCAGGTCAAGTAGGTCGTGGACACACTCCGCTAAGCAGTATGCAGCTGTTGATGGTATATGGCCTGTCCTCTTGTCGTCCGGAACTATGTAGGGGCCCACGACCCCTTTTAGTAATTTCCGTCCGCCGGATTTACGACCTCCGGCACGGACCCCGTATGGAGGGTCGCATATTATTGCGTCAAATACCTAAGAGATATGGTGAATAATAAGAAGCAAAAACCAAGTTATCAACTCAACCATCTTGGTTAATTTACAAGTTGACATGTAATAGGCCTATTTTTTTAGAGTTTTTAGTTTTTTATTCTTTTTCCAATGTCTCATGGGCGCTGCAAGCAAGGGTCTTCACTGAAACAACCTTTCTATCCCTAGGATCGGAGGTATGGTCTGTGTAAATCTTTTTTTTTTTTGGTATGCGAGCCGACTAATCCCAGGACGGCCACCTGCTTTGCAGATAGCCTGGAATCACCGCATTTGAACCTCCATGGCCACAAGGGGATTTTTATTCCTCCTTGGGTTTGAACCTGGGACCTCCTGGTACTTTTGACCTTTGGAGCCAAGCTCAAACCAATCAGGTACCACCCTTGTGGTTGGTCTGTGTAAATCTTACCCCCCACATACCTTACTTCTGGTGCATAAACGTTTAGTTTGGTTCACAAGACCACAAAAAAGCCAGAAATCTCTAAGAGGGGGAAAATACACAAGCACCCTGTGGGTAATGCAAGAAGCCACAAACATTATACCAAGTCTTGTGGCTTATTTTATGTGATGAAAGACATTACCTCTTTCAATCCAGGCCGCCAAGGAGGAAGGTTGTTATCTGCTCTTAACAGCGAAACCGGCATTTGCAATCCATACTGTAAAACACAAATTAACGGTTGAAGTTTTAGGTTTTTTAACTTTGCTTGGTTAGTAACAAGCAAGGAGATACTACAAGTTACCACAGACTTTCAAAGGAAAAGAAAGTTAAATTACCTGCTTAAAGTTACTCCAGACATTGCAATCTGGGCCACGACCATCACGCACCACCCGGATATCAATATCTGCTCCCTGAAAGTTTTAAATTAGAGGAAGCTAAAAAAAACCATCATCATTAATGCCAAAGGGAAACTGATCACAAACCATTGTCATAGCTCCAAAATGAGCTGCAGCAACTAGAATGCTCCCTGTGCCAACAAAAGGGTCATACACAAGTTTCCCAGGCATGGCCTGTGCTTGGTTGGCCATCAAAAAAGCCACTTCTGCATCCATGGCGGTCGGTCCAAGATAAGTACGACTTTTCAATTGATATGTAGGCAAGAGCTTCCTATCAGCAGCACCAACCTCTCGCCCAAAAAAAATAGTCTTATCAACAACCGGTGGAAGACCATTGTTAGCTTCATAGTCATCAGTTTCGATAAGCCAAAACTTATGCTCTGGATTACGCAACTCAACTCTGCCCTGGAAGAATTGATCATTATCTATCAGTCTAGATACGAAAATAATCATAAACCAGAATGTGAAATATGGAAATTTATTTAGCTCGGGACTCGAGTCAAACGACTGCAAAGCTATTGAGTAAATTCACTAACATAAGCAGCAGGTAACCAGAGAGCCATAAACTTCTTGCCGATATAGTATCAAATATGCATAGTTTAATATTACAATGAAACCAAATAGCACCAATCCCATGACAAACTTTTGGAAGGTGCAACAGTGGGTCAAGTTGACAATTGTGTAGTAGTAATATGGCTTCTTCTGGTGCACAGTTTAACCAACCAACTAGAGAATATGAATAACTTAAACTGTACCAAAGTCCTAACATAAACAAGAAACATATAAAAAGGCAAATACCTTAAATGGGATGTAAGACATCCCCTGAATTCGAGCTGTTTGGTCCTTGAAGCTGATGGCCTTTCCAAAGCTATCTACTATAATCCTAAAAGTGCTATCTGAAGTTAAGTATGGCAACTTCCGGTCATCTGGATAACTGTTTATTGCTTCTTTCAGTTCCTCATAGGAACTTCCCTCTCCCCAAATTTCATAAAGCCCCTTCACAAGAATACCTGCATATATGCAGAAAAAGTTCCCATAAAAAGAAAGTCTTCTGGTAAATACCACAAGACAAATGAATACTTCAACATGGGAACTTGACTATAAGACGACTATGGAGGGCAGATTATGGAAGTGGACATAGATCAAACTCATGATTATACAAATTATACTGTGAGCACAAATTTGAAAACCAAAAATGAGATTAAGCCACAGATTTGAGTCTTATAGAGCCTACTCCTACCAAGCTCAGCCAAGAAGGATGCTGCAAACCAAGATGTTACATGCAGAGACATGGAATTTGGGATCTAAAGCGGGAAAACCACCAGAAACTTGACATAGGTTATGGGTTCGAGTTCACAAGAGACATACATGAGTGATATTACAAAAATGAGTCAAAAACCAGGTGGATGGAAATCAATGACGAAAACAGGAATTGTAATGAAAAAAGTAATCACAAAATAATCCACAAAGCAATCGAAGCAACTGCAAATCCTATGTCGAACCCATTTCATCAAAAAAATTAACAAGAAATTTGTAAAGAGAAGAACAAACTTCGATTGGCAATGTTGCGGGCGATATCCTCGTTTGGGAGATTAACGAAATGGAAAGGAGAATCAGGATGGTGATGGTGAGGCAGTTTCCATTCAAGTGTATGTGAAGTCGTGGTTGGATCTTCATGGAATGCACCAAAGAGGTCAGCGAGAGATTCAAATTCGGGTTTCCTGTAATCCAATAATCTGTGGTAGAAAACGCACAAATACCACATTCTTTGCTTCTTTTTTCTTCGTCTCTAAGATTACTTGTACAATATTCAAGATGATTGACTGCACGCATAAACCCTAAAAACCCTTTATGACCCTGCAAATCACAAAATCCAAATCAAAGGTTTTATGCGACCATTCCTTCATATTCTAAAAAACGTAATAAGCAGCTTTTCTTAAGTCGGAAAGTATTAATTTATCAAAAACAGTTTATTATGAATTTGATATCGTTATAAGTAGTTTATTTTTTTATCTAAATATCAAAAAATAGCTTATCATCGATGTCAGACTAAAATAAGTTAAAAACCAATTTTTATAAGCAATCATAAATACCCCTTAAAATTAATGTATGTTACTTAAATTTGATTATAAATAAATTATTTATAAGTATAACTTATTAAAATTAAATTTTATTTTTGAATTCGTATGATTAACTATAAATAAACATAATCAAATATAA